ATTTAGTCATCAGTAGAGTGTTTAGGTATCACTCACTTCCTGCTCTTACTGAGTTCCTAACTAAACATTTCTTGAAATTCATCAGCATAAGTTACTGAACATTCTGTTGGATGATATACATTTGGTATTATTAAATGGGTTCTTTTCTAGTATCCATATTCTTAGGACGTGGCTGAGTTTTAAGCATTAGCTTACCCAGTCCTCCTCTTTTTTCCACGTCCAGATTTGATGTTTGTTAAGTAAAATACTTTGCTTTGTTTGTCCCAACTTTACTTTCAGATGATCTTTCTTATCATATTTCAGTAACTCTTTACATGTCTTAACTGCAGGATTCTCCAGAACCACTAGCCAATTCACTTTTACAGCCTCAATTTCCTGGAACCCTTGTGTTGGAGCTTGATTGGTTGCCTTTGCGAACTGACAAAAACGACCCCCTGTTATTGTGCATAGCTGGAGCTGATAGTAGCTTTCGCCTTGTTGAGATTAATATGTATGTGTCAAACTTTGTTCGATTTTATGAGTAATTTCGTTATGCCTTAAGTTATTAAGTCATAATGGGGAGGGGATGGCCTGTGTTGGTGTTAGCCATTTCTGTGCTTAAATAGTCTTACTCTTATGCAGAATTGACAAAAAACTTGGTTATACCCACCAGCCCAGATCTATAAAAGAGAGGTTCCGTCCGATGCCCTTATGTTGTCCTATACTGCTTCCAATACCACATGCCCTGGTAACTATGTTTCCATTTTCCTTTTATTTGATGGAAGCAATTTTAATCTGTTCCAGTTCTATTGTTTATTTGTCAATCATGCCCTTTGACAACTGGAAGTTCATGTCTGTATTAGAGTAAGACTACATTAGAGTAACAACCTATTTTTTAATTACAGGCGTTACGGGTGATCTTACAATTAGGTGTCAAGCCTTCTTGGTTTAATACTAGCAGTACAACTTTAGATAAGCGGCCTCACCAAATTCCAGGAACTCCCAAGTCCAGTGAGGATCTTCGCAGTTACATGATCGATTTACCACCTGTTGGTGACCCTGTGGTACCAGAATTGCTGCTTAAAGTCTTAGAACCTTATCGTAAAGAAGGTGGGTCCTCTTTAAGTAGCTCACATTTGAGTATCGTATTATTAGTGTTTTTACTATTAACTTATAAATGTTACATTGCTCAAGGCTGTATACTGGATGATGAGAGGGCAAAATTATATGCAAAGGTGGTGACCAACGGTTGTTCTGTGAGATTTGCTTTTGCTGCTGCAATTTTTGGAGAACCCTCAGAAGCCCTTTTCTGGCTGCAACTACCTCGTGCTCTTAACCATTTGATGAATAAGTTAGTAAACAAGTCTCCACAAAAAGCTCCTGTGTCAGCATCAGTTCCAGAGCTTGATGATGCATCTATGCTTAGTAGGATAACATCAAAAGGAAAGTCAGTGTCTGGAACAGAAAAGAAAGATGCAATGGTAAGCCATTTTTTAGGATGATATTACTCTCAAGTTTTTGTAAACAATGTGTTGCTATGTTACCTAACATTTCTCCTATACCTTGTGCTCTTCAATTCTAAACTATTGTTGTAGGTAATTTTCCTTCATAAAAGCTTTGTAACATTTCTATAATTTATCCACTTCTATGGTTAAGCAGAACCAAGGTCAGCTCAGGTTAATGGCTTTTGAACAAGAAGACTTGTGGGCAAATGCTAGTGAACGTATCCCTTGGCATGAGAAACTGGAGGGAGAAGAGGCTATTCAAAATCGTGTACACGAGTGAGTGTTTCATATCATTCTCATGTTTTAGATGTACTGCCCATGTATTTACTGGATAAGCTTAAGTATGACTTAATGCCTTCTGGTTTAGTTGCCACTGGGTGAATATTTTATTTGCTTGGTAGAACTCCATATGTTTGAAAGCATAAAACTGGGAAGCTTTTTTTGCTGAGTTCCATCCTTCCTATTGTCTTTCTTTGGCAACATGCCAAATGCCCAAGTTGCCCAGTTACTTGTACATTTAAAATTGTAGGCTTGTAAAAAAGAATGCCAGACTTTGCCTCTTGGGGGTTCTTGGTTTACTTATGATGTTTTACTTTGTGGTCTTGATAATTTAGGCTTGTCTCGATTGGGAACTTAGAAGCCGCAGTTAGTTTATTGCTTTCCACCCCTCCTGAGAGCAATTACTTCTCTGCAAATGCTTTACGTGCTGTTGCTCTTTCTTCTGCTGTGTCAAAGTCTCTCCTTGAACTTGCAGTTAAGGTGAGTGCTTACTTAGATCAGCTCATGACACCAAAATGCATTTGTGACTGGAATAAAGTGGTTTAAGTATCTCAGTATTTTTTTATACTTACTCTTATGTCATTTAGGTGGTTGCAGCCAACATGGTCAGGACTGACAGGTCATTATCTGGTACTCACCTTCTTTGTGCTGTAGGAAGGTATCAAGAAGCTTGTTCTCAGGTTAGGTTCTACTTTAAAAAAGTTCTGTAAACCTAGTTATCTAAGTGTGGCCTTTGTTTTCAGTGTAAATTCATACAACTTGGCAGGTTTTGTGTCAATTAATCACACTAATCTTCTTTATTCTAGCTTGGCTGCCGTAGAATCTGATCTGACTTGTATTGGTTTGCATTAACTTATATTACCACCAATTACTATGACATCTCTTATGCAGCTACAAGATGCTGGGTGTTGGACAGATGCTGCAACTTTAGCTGCTGCGCATTTAAAAGGATCTGACTATGCAAGGTTGTTTACTTACTATTCACCATTTCTGAGGTCTCCTTTGCCATCTACCATTTTTTTTTTTTTTTTTTTTCTATATACTTTTTTGTTGATTAGCTTGCTGCTTATTGCTGGCCCGTTAGCCTAAATGTGGGTTTTTATATATTCATTTAGTTATATATCATAAGTTCATAATGTATCGTCATTTGATGACATATAAACTCATCCCCATGTTTGCTGCTTGTCTTTTGGCTAAACAGATCCATTTCTAGTCCCCTGATTTTCATTTGTACAATTCTAATTTTCTAAATCATTCTTTTCACTATGGTTATGGTAGCTGAATTGTGTGTATTATGTTCTTCCAGGGTGTTACTAAGATGGGCTTCGCATGTCCTTCGTGCTGAACACAACATATGGAGGTATCATTATTTTACTCGTTAAGGTTTTTAAAATGGAAATTGTTAAAAAGTATTTTATAAATTCTTTTTTTCTCATCTGACTTGCGCTAAATGATCCATTGGCAGGGCTCTGATTTTGTATGTTGCAGCTGGTGCGCTGCAAGAGGCATTGGCAGCACTTCGTGAGGCCCAACAACCGGACACAGCAGCTATGTTCATCCTTGCTTGCCGAGAAATTCATGCCAACTTCATCTCTGATTTAGGGAACTCAGATAATGAATCTAGTTCTTCAATCAAGGACAAGCTGCTTCACTTGCCTGGGTTGGGACCTGAGAATGAAGATGTTGTTGCAGTCAGTGAATATTATGGGCAATACCAAAGAAAATTGGTGCATCTATGCATGGACTCGCAACCATTCTCTGAATGAAGGACTAGGCCTGGTCACGTGGTACAACCTAGTCATTTTCTCCGTATTTTACAGTAAGAAATGGCAAACTTTCGATCGATAAAACAATCCACAGCTCTTACTAGATTCATGGGCCAAAAGCAATTTGACGTTATGAGGACATGACAAAGTGATACTTGGCCAACTTCGAGAATGGTCATATTCTTAGCCGGCAATCGACTGAGAGAAATTTTTGGTTTTGAAATTGGATCTGCTTGATTGCAACTGCAGCTATGTAGTTTAGGTAGAAAACATTACTGGAAAATGTTGTAAATGTAGAAAATTGTCAAGATAAATCTATATCAAAGTATATAATGTTTTTGTGTAGTAGGAATGTGTAATGATGTTATTTCTTCATTTTGACAGGTGAATGTCTAATAAGTGTCTCATTTTAGGGCTTTGTACATTTTTCTGGTCAACCATGTTGTGGCTATTAGTAGGGCCGACGTTTTCGTTATTGGGCTCTAGCTGGGCCATTTCGATACTGGGCCAAATTATTTGTTATTGGGCTTTTCTTTGGGCTGAATTATTTGTTATTGGGCTTTTTTGGGGCCGTCTATTCATTACTGGGCCCAATTATTCGTTGTTGGGCTTTTAATTGGGCCTACATTCTTTTTGGCCCAAGTATTTGTTACTGGGCTTTTCTTTGGGCGGAATTATTCGTTATTGGGCTTTTGTCGGGCCGAAATATCCATTCTTGAGCCCAATTATTCGTTGTTGGGCTTTAGTTGGGCCCTCATTTTCGCTAATGGGCCCAAATATTCGTTATTGGGCTTTTGTTGGGCCGGAATTTCCATTCTTGTGCCCAATTATTCGTTGTTGGGCTGTAGTTGGGCCCTCATTTTCCCTAATGGGCCCTCATTTTCGTTGTTGGGCTTTTAGTTGGGCTGTCATATTTTTGGGGCCCAATTTTAGTTACTGGGCTTTTCTTTAGGCGGAATTATACGTTATTGGGCTTTTCTTTCGGCAGACATGTCCATTATTGGGCTTTAGTTGGGCACCCATTTTCGTTACCGGGACCAAATATTCATTATTGGGGTTTTAGTTGGTCGAGATATTCTTTTTGGGCTTTATTACTTGGGTTTTTAAATGGGCCGAACTATTCTCTGTTTATATTCAGTTTGGCCAGCATTTTCGATTATTCGTTACCGGGTTGGGTGTCAATTCATTATTGGGCCTAAGTTTTCGCCATGCAGCTTTTGGTTGGGCTACCATAGACGTTTCTGGGCCGTCTAATTAGCTCTCGAGCTTCGGATATTGAGCCGAATTTAATCAGCAGGACGGTTCTTATCAATTCTGTCCTAAGATGACTTCTGTTACTGACGTAACTTATGAAGACACCTTACATCTGTTTTGCATTAGCTCATGAATTCTGTAATGTGGGCCTTATATATGGCCCTTAGCTAAGGCACTCACTATAGAATGACTCTGCATTAACTATATATACATAAAAAAACCAAAAAACCAAAAAAAAAAGGTCGGAAACAAGTTTACGGAATTGCTGCAGGAGTCCGATCTATAGAAATATATAAGTGCACGAGAAAACCAAACTTGAAATATCAACCCACTTCGAGTTCAAGCTCCGTTAAATTTAAGAGCTGCATCATCAGGGAACACCACCTATCAGGAAATTCGAGCCTTTGCCCAAAACACAAGGATTTTACTCCCACCAGTAAAAATATCCTGAGCAGCAGCTACTTCGTATTGTAGAACTCCACACTTTGATTGTGGTCACACTACCGCCCACCTGAACAAAATATTGAGGGCAACATAGTTAACTCTCACAATATGTTATAATATATAAGTGATGATTATGAAAATGTGCCTAGACTTTGAAAATATATACACATGATGATTTGAAAATGTGCCTAGACCCGGTAAATTCGGTTTCACAAAGGCTAAACATCAATGTGCACAGGTTTCTTTTAAATATTTTGGAAACAGCAACGAAACCCCCAGTTGTCCAAGGTGCAACCCAAGCACCTGATTTTTTTGGAACAAAAAGAAACATACGAGATAACACTACATTCATAACAATGCAAATCATCACTGAAACAACCACAGATGGGAGACAACCACACCCAACATTGACCCACATTATGTAACCTTGATACAACTATTGCCCCACATTACCTATCCATACACAGAAGTTAACATTAAGCTTGCAGCAGTAGCATTTGTTTCTTAATCGCCTGTGGCACAACTGATCAGCATCGAGCATGCAACTAACAAGCATAAAACAAAATTATAACTATGATTGTATTTTATAGTGCAACATACTGGCCCCCAGCCACACTAGCGGCTGCATGATTCATTTCCAACTCTTAATTTATAGGAACAATATAGGTTTGTTCACAGAATTATATTTCCAGAAAGTGTAATGCTCTGAATTTATGCATTTCCAACATAAGGTATAATATGCTCTCAGTAAGTGTCCTAGCCTCCATATGTACCTTATGTAGATGTTTCATGACTTCACCTTGCAAGTTTTACAACTTTGTCTCACTTAACATTGGTCCTGCGAGGCCCCTGTCATGCCTTCACGAGGCTGTCTCCTCTTCAAGAACAGAACAAAATAATAGTTAACATTGGTAGAGAAGTCTTAATACATTTTGTTTGAATTTAAGCTAGAGATACTAAAATAAACAAATTTAAACGCATGAACAAAGGCTAAATTTCTTTATCTAATAACATGGCATTAGGTTGGTTAAATTATTCAAATATTATGAGCCTTTAACTTTAACTTTTTCTTTTTCTCCAGGTGTAAGAGTTATGAAAATAATTCTTGCCACTGACTAATCAGAGATCCTTTCTTGCTTGGACGAGGGAGGTGGCCAACATTGACGACCATTTTAACTTTTGACAACAGAAGTTCCAATTAAGGTTCAAACAATAGCATCAAATTTGTTTGTTAATGGTCGGTGGGACCACTGATCAGCACCAAAGTATAAAACAGAAAAATATAACTTAACCATTGCGTTTTATAGGGCAGCAAATTTTCCCTATCAGCCACTCGCGTGGCTGAATGCTTCATTTATAAATCTTAATTTACCTTAGAAACAGCATATACTTATATTACAAAACCGTATTGAATAAACCCAACAAGGGCGATAACCATAAACAGTAATTCAATGCCTTCCATCACAAATAAACATTCAATGGCGATAACCATGTCCATGATTATTTTCATAATAAATATCATCACTATATAAATAATAAAACTATGATCATAATAATTTATTATTAGTAATTTTATTTTCATTTTTCTTAAAAAGTATAAGGCGTGAAGAAATTAACCTGCATATGAAGATCGAGAAGGTAAAGATTTGAACATCATCTTTGAGTCAATCTGTCTCAAAAAAGGAGAGAATCGCTTGAATCAATTCTGAAGCGCACTCAGGCTCCACCAGATCAGGCACATCAGCCACATACGATCTGCCCAACAACAAACCCTAACGTTACACCGTCAAGGCTGTAATTTACACCATCGGAAACACCGCGACCCTGAAATCGTTCATCCACAGGCAAAACCAGCGACCTCGCCATCGACGATCGTCTTAGAACCCAAATTGGATCGAATTACTGAAACAACCGGCCCAACTGATTCGATCTTCGCAATGGCGTCAGATCCGTCGAGTGTGTTTGAACGCGATCTTCGCAAAGGCCTCAAACACAAACGTCACTAACGTACCGGTGATTGCGATCGTAGATGATCATGTCGAATCGAATCAAAGCTTCTTGGCGTCGGGGATTAATTAGGGCTTGGAGCCTTGGAGAGAGACGGTTGGCGGGTTTTTTGTGCTCTGTTTGGGCTTTGGGTTTGGGTATTTTTATTTCTCCTAAGGGCTTATGAATACGATTGTCTCAGATCTCAGTTTGTCGATTTGGACGGGCTACGGGCTTGTTTGGCTTTGTTGCTTCCCTGGCCCAAGAAAAAAAGTGGCCCGTGTTCAATAAGCAGTAAACTTGGATTGTTACTCATTCAGGGCTGGGGCTGTTTGGTTGATGATTCGAGAGTAATCTTTACAATTTTGGATTTCATCCGAAAACTTGGATTGTAATTTGATTTTGTATTTTCCTTTAGTCTTAAAATTTATTGGCATTAGAAGTTTTTTAAGTTTTAAAAATTATGAAAATAATGTTGTTAATGAGCATAGAAATTCCAGGTAGCTACAGAAAGTTGAACAAACATCAACATGAGCAATTTTATACAAGCGTAGGGATGCAGTATTTTTATGTTTAAAAGACGATTCAAGATGTCGCAGGAAACATGTTAGAACAAGTATCTTTCTTCTACAAGAAAGACCAAGGTACCTCAAACATGAACAAACCAAGGTGTTCAGCGTGTCCATGCTGGAGGCGAAGCTCGAATCAGATAGGTCTTGATTTAGAAGACACTGCAATGTAGCTTACAATTGCCGAGTCGTCACCATCTCCCGAACTCTTCCGGATCAAAATTATAAATCTTAATATGTTTACGTCTTTTTTCTTGAGTTTGCCCATCCCACATAAATAATAGCTTTTCTGGATAGCCTAGGCAGGATTCTATAGCGAAGGGATCGAACCTCAATCTTCCTCTGGACATCTATAAAAAAAACAGAGGTGGGGGAAGGCAGAACGTATGTAGCATTTCATTTTATCATGCTCATTAGTATGACAAGGACGGACAATCAGGTTTCAGTTCTCATAACCAAGCTGCCAAGCCTGCTTCTACCTACCTTTTCTTCAGTGTCTCATAAACAGTCATAGGGAGCTGCATTACCCCTCACGGAGACTATTCGCTTCCACAAAGGTGCTATAGAAATTTACAAAGGAATGTTATGTGGTCCAACAATTACTTGGAATCTAACTCCATTGCTCGTCTTCTCAACCAAACAGCATGATATGTAAATTACCATAAAAGGTGGATTTGATCATTCAGATAACATACCCTTTAAGATTAACAGAATCTCCTGCGACATCGAGCAGATCCAAGTTCCTCATATTCAGCCTTGGTGACACGCATTGCTTCAAAATCAGGACTTGATGCTAAAAGAGATCCTCCTCGCCAAACACCTAGTATGGGGCTGGAAAAACATGGACAGTTTTAATAAAACTGGAAGTAGGTATGCTTAAACAGAGTAATACAGGTCAGGAGGAAAGTTACTCTTGTTGAGGAGTTATGTTCACTTGATAGTCATCAGGAACAAGAGGCCGCAGCTCCCTCTCTCTGCAAAATTTCAATACAAACTTAAGGATGATTAAGTATTAAGTCTGACATTGCACAACTGAACGGAAAAGAGATCAGTACATACAGTCTATCAGAAAGTCGAGGAAATAGTGTGCTTCCGCCGGTTAAAATAATGCTGGCCAACACATTCAGACACACGCGGGTAAGTACTGACAATAATTTTTTTTTTTCTTTCAAGTAAAATGCAGAGTTTGGAAGGTCACTTTTCATAGAGTACAGGGTGAAGATGAGGATGGCAGGAACTGACAGCTCGAACCATGCACTCCGCTAGCCCAGCCTGATTCATTCCTGCAAAACAGGTCCAAGTTAGCGCTTTTGCTTTGTAAGAAATCATAGAGTTCCCAAAGGAATGAGCAAAATCATTACTAAATCACATACAATGTTCACATAAGTTATAGAATTTCTAAAAACCTCCTATTATGCCACACAGTATCATATTCTACAGAAACAGCTAATGACATATTTCCAACGCTATGCTCTACATGAATCAAGCAACAACTTGCAGAAGTAATAACCCCTAGCCAACATGAACCACAAAAGGATATTGTAATGTTTCATTCAACAACAAAGAATCATATATCGTATTTGTTTCAAGAATCAAACTAAAACCCCAAAAGTGTAGTTTGAAACAAGAATATAAGACAAACCCAAATCAGCAGGATGGAAGATCATCTCTGGCACAAGGAACCTTTCATTTGTCAAGTCAAATTCCTGCCCAAAAACAACAAACACCACTCAGAAGTAGAAAACAAACACAACCAGTTACTAAATTAGCTCAAATATATGGGAGAAAGATTACATTCTTGGTTAAATCAATCTTCTTTCGATCCTCCAGCTTGTTTGTAACTTCCATCTGATCCACATCCATCTTTTGCTGCACTTCTTCAAGTGTGTCACCGTTTCCCAAAGCCAAGTATCTCTGCGCCTCTTCTGGGTTCTTAACGAACCCTTTTGTGTGCGTAACACCATCAGGCAACACATACGTGCACCTGAAAGCATTGTCCTTCCCTTGTTTCCTGAACACCAATTTCAAGCCAAAAAAAAAAAAATACAACAAAACCCAGAACTGACATTAAACCAAATTCCAGGAAAAATAGAAGAAGAAAATAGAAACAATATTAAAATAAATTCACGAACTTTGCGATCTGGAGGTCACGAGCAACGTCTAAGGAAACAAAGCAGAGCTTCTCCTTAACGTCGTCGATCAGGAAGGTCTCGTCCATGACATTGACAGAGCGGTAAGATACAAGCTCTTTGAGGTAATTGGTCAAGGCCTTGCCGCCCAAGTCGATTCGCTTAGCGGCGTAGTTGATGGGGAAGTTTTGGAAAACAGGGACGGCGTGAGTGAAAGAGAAGCCGCAGTCGACGACGAGGCTGCATTGGGCCTTAAAGGTCCGCTGGCTGGCCTCGTAGAGGTGGGCCAGGGAGGGAGAGTGGGCCACGTAGAGCGACGAGAAGTTGAAGTCCTCGAAGACGAGCTCGTCGGTGGCGCGTTGGATGGATGGGAGGGTGAAGAGGGGCTCCGTCAGGAGAAGGGACGATTGGGCCGGGTTGACCCGGAGAAGGGAGGAGAAGAGGTTGGCCCAGATCTCGCGCTGGAGATCCGGGTTGATTAGGTAGCCGCGGTCGATGGGCCGCCGGACCGCCGCGGAGGTGAGGTCCATGGGCTCGGTGGGTGAAGGGTGCACCCATTTCTTGGAGGAGAGTGGGCGGTAGACGCAGTTAGGGATTATGGCTGAGGGGTCGCGCTCGCCGCCGAGTCCAGCTTTGATTAGGCCGCCGCCGTTGTCCAACACGACGACGTTTTGATGCATGTCCAGGTGGAGTGGAGGGGGGTTGGGTGGTGGGGGCCTGGGGACTGATTTGGCGCGAGGTTGAGGTTGAGGTTGAGGTTGAGGTGAGTGTGTGTATGTGTGTGAGTGACTCGCCGGGGTTTATGCATTTGCCATTTGGGGTTTAAAGGATGTATTGCAACATGAAATGAAAATGCACCAATAAGCCAACGTCAAACAAAAAATATAGGGCTTGTATTCGCTTTTGAACTTCTTGTGTTTTACTTATGTTTTTCTTAGATTGAAAATTTTGGTTTAGTTTTGTTGGTACAAGTTATATAAATATAACTCAAAGGGTTCAACAGAAACCATTGTGTTCTTTCACACAAATTGTGACATTCTGATCGTTACAAATTACAATAGGATAATTGATTTTATTTAAAGACCAAAATTTGCTAATTATATAATATCAAACTTTGTATGTCATCTGCTACATTACAGTGCATGACTGCAAGTAAGCGCAGCAAAATGGCAAATTACACAAAGGTAAGTAAAGAACATTTTCCAAAATGAAGGAGGTAGCATAACAAGCATCTGCAGCATCAAAAGCTTTATCCAAATAGTCGAAAGGTATTTGCATTATGGGAGGAACAAACTGGTCAAGACAAGAAGGCATATCCGATTTCAATAGGGCGCATAGTAGTACCCTCCTGGCTGAGGTGGGCCATAATAACCAGAGCCGCCAGAAGAAATCTTGGCCAAACCCACTTGCCCTTGCATCCCATCTCTTCCATATTGCTGCCAAAGCAGTTGTTCCTGTGAAAGCAAATATTGCTTCCTCTCCATCTCTGCTATCTGAACATATGAAGGAGGCGGCACTGCGAGGGAGGCGGCAAACGGATCTTGCTGCCCCACTGCTTGCACTGTCCCGTCTGGGGCAGGCAGAGCCAGCAATGGCGTAACACCCTTGCCTGCCCCGGGCATTGCCACACTACTTGCACTCCCACCACTCAGTTGTGAGGTGCTCACATGTTGCCTCACTGCTCCCTGATCATACATGCCATTCAATAACAATGGATCAAAACCACCAGCCAAATCAGCCTTCTGCTTTGACAGATTACTAGCTGTCTCAACCAATGCCAATTCCCAGTCTGCTTTACCACTCTCAGCAGCTGGTGTCTGCCAAGCTGAGGTCACTTGAGGCTCTCCATCTGATGGGAATGCTTCCCAGGATCCATTTGTATTAGTAGTAGTAGGAGGTCCAGAGAACAAAGCCAAAGCCAATTTGTTTCCTTGCTCATCAGCAGTAATTCCATCATCCCTCAAATTGACCAAGTCCTCTGTCACAGGTTGAGGATGTGAAGCCTTAGCCTGGGTTTCAGGTGGCGGGGGAGGAGGAGTGTAATTCTCCGGCGGAGGAAGAGCCTTCATCACCTCATAATTCATATCCTGTTTTGGCTCACAATCAACCTGACCCTTCTCCTCCAGACTCTTTGGCCTGTTTGTCTTCTCCTTCAAGAACCCTTCAAGTGAGCTCAAAAGCTTATCAGTTATTCTCTGAACCTCCGGGTACTCAGACGACCGGGCAATCCCCGTGTCCTTACACCAACCATAAAACCCCACAAGCTCATCAATCATCTTTGCCGCATTAACATAAGCATCAAAAGCCTTAACACAATCCGCATACTCCATCTCAGTAAACCTATCCAACAACACCCCCAATGCCTCACATATTGCAACATATAACCCAAAACTCTCCTTCAAAACCTGGTAAAGCGCAACAATCACCAACCTACTACTCTTAGCCGCACCTGCAGGCCTACAAGCCAAAATTCGATCAAGAACCCTCAACAGGTCATTCAACCTCCCCAGCACTCTCTCAGGCCTCATTTCCCTTATTGGCGTACTAGACTTGGTCTCTCTTTTCTGCTCTCTCTCCAATGACTGATCACTCACATCATTTCCATAATCAAATTCTTTCCTTTCCTCTCGATAATCTCTCTCCTGATCCAATATACCGCCCTCTGTGCCTCCCGATTTCCTCTCATAAACCTCAAACTCCACCTTCTCATCAAGATACATCGCATAAAACCTTAGAAACCCGGCATGATCCCAAGCATTTGAATGCGATTCGTCTCTAAAACCAGACAAGTTCAAAATCCGCATGCCTCTACGAGTTGCATACACAATCTCCTCCTCAAACGAAGGGTGCCCCTCAACCAAAATTCTGTGAACAAGCATAAGAGCCTTGAGAGCCACAATCCAATCATGGGTTTTGCTCAAACGCTTAGATATAGTTGCCACAGCCGCAGTGACATATCCACGCGAGTAGGAGGTCAAGTTGATGATCTCCCTTATGTACTTGTCGTCAGCTGGGTCTTCATCGTGGGTCGTGGCCTTAACGACCAGAACTTCGAGGTCCGGGGCTATGTTCCCGGCCACTTTGGCTAGGCTGATGCTGGTTTGGTCCTTGACAGCCCCAATTGCCTTGCGAATTGTGCTGGGTGCCATTGATGATAGGATTCAAAAAGCAAGAGGAAAAGGGGTTTGTTTTTGTTGATTACCTATGCTTTGTTCAGGGTTGTGCAAGAGTGGATCGAGACTGTAGAGGATGAAACGAGAGATCTGCTGACTTGGGTCAACGTCGTAGACGGTGGAGATTGAGTCCGTTCGATCGGAATTGCAGTAGATTGGAAAGGGTCACGGCTCACGGAGCTGTGCTGCCAAAAACAGAGACCAAGGCAGTCTTGTCTTCTTTTACTTTTCGCTGTGCTGCGAAAGGCTAAAAGCGCGTAATCTAAAACCTTTTGCTGGCTAATTCATTGCAAAAGATAGATGGCATTTGACGGTTTGAACTCTGTGGACTCTTTCTCCATGCAATGTATGTGAATTTCGGTAATGGTGGGTATTATAAGCAATTTTGTCAATGTAAATCTCTATGGTTACTCAATAAATATTCATTATTTTATATATATATATTTGCAACATTTCCATACAACCATCAATTATTTGTGTTTTACATATTTTTTTATTTAAGGTTTATTAAATGTTGCAAGGACTTATAATTTAAGTCGTCCTTACATTCGGCTCCTGAATTTTTAATTCCTACTCTATTTTGCTTGTATAAAAAAAAAAAATTACTAAATGTTAATTTGATCCCAATTACCTTGTGCACTTTTAATTATTTTTCTTCTAAATAAAAGTAAACAGTTTGAATTTGACGGTCATATATTTTCTTTAGTCACATTGTAAATTGTGAGGATAGAACATATATACACGGACCAAAAATAGTTTTCACTTTTGAATTATTATAATTTTTTTTCTTTTTGCTAGCAAGAAATTTAAATTTCCGAAGATAAATGGGCTGAAATGTAATTATAGAATTGAACTTCCTGATAAATAAATAAAAAACAATTGTAAATATTATACAGTGTCAGAAAGGTGAAGCGCATGTTCCCGCGAATATCAGCTTTGGTCGCATTTGGCTTATAAATAGCTTTGCCTCTCAAAATTGTCTTTTCTATTTTCTCTCTTCCCCAACCGAGTCGACGCAGACAACCACAATGTTCTTCCTCCGAGTCCACTCAGTGGACACCAACCACCCTCTCAGCCTCGAAGACGCCGAGTTCACCACCATCACAACTTCCAAGATCACCAGTGCTACTGAATCAAACCCTAACATCATCCCCAAATTCAGCGAGCGAAGAGGCATAGCTCACCTGTTCCGAAGCATAGGACACTCGTCGCTGCCGAACAGCCCTGCCTCTCGATCCACTCTCCTCTTCGTCATTGCTGTTCCCAACTACCTCTCCTTCGACGACTTCATCCGCTTCTGTGGGTCCCGAATCGACCATGTCCTCCAACTCGTCTTCATCAGGTACCATTCTAGAATTTCTTTGTTTACCCAGAAATTAAGAAATTTTGAATCTTTCAATTCGGAAGTTGTGGGTTGGTTTGTTGATCAAAACCTTGAATTGGGTTTGTGACGAAATTGAGGAAATAGCAAAATTTATTTTTTTATAATTTTATTTTAAAGAAAATTTTGGATAGGGTTTTACTTCAATTGAGCCACAGAGTTGTGCCAGGCTTACATTGATAATTTTCATGAATATAAAAAATCAAATTTAAAAGATAAACTTGAGCTGAAAATCTAAAAAAAGGGTCTATGTATCAGTTCAGTGAATATCTTTGTTTGAAATTCAAGTTCCATTTTATCTATGTTTTTGTTTCCTCAGTGATCAAACAAAGTCTAATTTAGTATTTGCTTAATTGGATTAGGAACGATGGGATGGAAGATCGGTACAGTGTTTTAGTTGAGCTGAAGAATCAGATGACCGCCGACGGATTTTATCACACTTTAAATGGGAAGAAGTATTCGCCTGGAGAGGTAATGAGCTTTTCTTATTATCGTTTATATTCATGGATGATGTATATACATCTTGAGCTTATGTGTGCGATTTTCTTTGTTTTTTTTTTTTCAGGCCGAGGTGTGCCACATTCTGTTTCTGCTTTCTGTGGACTACACGGATTCAGATGAAATAGCTGGGACTCCTCCAGAAGGATGTACTGAATTACCTACTTGCCCAGTTTGCCTTGGTGAGTCACAATTTTCTTTGGTGGGACGGGGGTTCTTCTATTTATTTTTTTCAGAGCTATAATATTCTTTTGCCCAGTATTTATATTATTTTGGTTTGACTTTTGTTTCAATGTCAGAGAGATTGGATGCAGACACTAGTGGAATAGCGAGTACACTTTGTGACCATTCATTTCAATGTCCATGCATTTCAAAATGGACTTATTTATCTTGTCAGGTGAGTTGGTTTTCTGTTCCAAAATTCTGTCTCATGTGTTTAAGTTTATTAGAGATCTTGGTTGAGAGCATTGTTGACTGCACTACTGATATCTATTGTTACTTGCATGTACTGCAATATTTGTAATTTAATTATTTAAAAGTTCTTAAGTAGATTATTATGAAATATTTCTATGTAACAATTGTGGTCTTGGGTTTATCAATTTGAGCTTGAGTTTTCCTTGAGTTGGCATTGGGCCCTTTGTAACTCTGATATGTATTAGGACTCGAGCAAAGTTTGAGAATCCAGCTATATAGAAGAAAGTTGCTGATTTAATATTTGTGTTGTGTGCCACTAGGTTTGCCGATTTTGTCAGCAGCAGGATGAAAAGCCAGCTTGCTCTATTTGTGGAATATCTGTGAATCCCTGAGTTTGCGTAATATGTGGTTTTGTAGGATGTGGAAGGTAAACATGATACACTCTTTTTTCTTCTTATATCTTTGGTAATTTCTGTCTCCAAAGCAAGAAACAATATAGCCTACGCATCATTTACTTGATGAGCTATGGCGTTGTCTTAATTAAATTTTGTCCAGACAGAAAATTATTGATATTATTTTTTCTTCAAAAAGATATACAGAAGGCCATGCTGTTAGGCACTGGAAGGATACACAGCATTGCTATTCTCTTGAGTTGAACAGGCAGCAGATTTGGGATTATGTTGGTGATGCTTATGTTCACCGCCTGAACCAATCAAAAATTGATGGCAAGCTAATAACTGATATGGATTCTCAATGTATGTCAGTGGAAGGGGATTGTGACAGGTGTGAATGCAGTGATGATTCTGGAATTAGTGGAGCCCTCTACAGCAGCAAAGTTGAAACTGTATGTATATATTTTAAGAATTTTTTGTACTTTTTTTGTACCTAGCACTATCCATTATTTTTGATTTCTTATTCACATAACTGATCTTTAGATGTTGTGCTACAACAGATTGTAGACGAGTATAACCGACTTCTTGCAAGTCAGCTTGAAACTCAAAGACAAGTAGGCTGTCATCAAACCCACGTTTGACCTCTGCTTTGTGTTCTTATTTTTCCTTCCACCTAATTGGTTGTTGATCAAGTGATATCCTTTTATTTTTCTTGAACTTCAGTATTATGAATCTCTACTTATGGAGGCCAAAAGTAAAAAGGAAAGTTCAATTTTAGAAGCAGTGGAGAAAGCTGTAAATTCCAAGATGCAGGATTTTCAAGCGAAACTGGAGAAATGTCTTGAGGAAAGAAATGTTGTTGAAGATGTGAGTTTGTAATGTGCTCCTCTTTATTTTGGAGTTTGGCATAGGTGTACTGTGTTTGTGTGATATCTTCTTCTTTTTTCTGACTGTTTATTTTAATTTATTGTGCCTATTTTTGTGTTTGTTTCTTAGATAAACCGTAATCTCATCAAGGGCCAAGAAACCCGGTGTGGAAAGTTGAAGGAAATTGAAGAGAGGTACATATTGTTTTCTCTCCTTCATTGATAGATGTCAATTCTCCCCTTGTTTAAATACTAACACTTCGGATAGGACCATAAGGGTGATAAGGGGTTGTTCAAAATTTGAAAGCGAAATATGGAGAGCCATTTAGTATGTGCCAAAACTTCTGTTTTTTTTCTTTCTTCCCACCCTGTCCCCTCCTCTCCTACACAACCAAGGATAGTGATCATTTCAGGACCCATGAGCCAGTGCTAGATCAATAGGATATGGCATAGAGGCAAGTCCGTGATTATTATCGGCACTGAATTCTTTGGTTTTTATATCCTCCTTTTAGGGAAGCTGCATCACTGAGGTTAAGAGAGGAGAAGATACTTGATCTAGAAGAACAGGTATTTCTGTTACGAGTTTCTGCTTGTTAGCCACTATATTTAGAAGTTGCTGGTTTCTTAACAAGTTTAAATGATGGTGGTCACAGATTAGAGATCTTACAGTCTACATTGAAGCCCAAAAAACACTTAAGGACATGACGGATTCAGATGGCATCAAAGGGGGAACGCTCTTGCCTGTACCTTCCTCAAAGCAATCTTCTCCTGCCAACTCTAGACGACAAACAAAATCTGGTCGAAGACGGAACTAAAAGAAGGGCACTCAACATTTCGTGTATAGTAAACTCAACATTTCGTGTATGGCAATAATTGTGTGTCCAGCTGATTTTGGATAATGTAGCGATTTCATTCAGTCTTAATGCTTCAGTAACTTTCCTTTGGATGTGCATCTGAGAGTGAGAAGGTTTCCAAATCATGACCATGCCAAGGATTTTCCTGAAGAAAGGGATTGAGCAATATGTATGAGAACAACAAACAGTGCAAGGGCATGATTTCTTATGTTCAATGTAAAATTGTGTTCTATGTACACGAATTTTACACAATTATTTATATTTTAACTTATTAGTGCAAGGGCACCACAATCTGTTCTACATACAACAATGCATTGGAAGATATCCAGCATCCTACAGCAGTATCCACAACTCTTTTTTTTTTTTTTATCAGATATCCACAACTCCCTTTCGGCTCCATAACAAAAAATGATATATTCAGTTAAAGACGGTCCTTCACGTAAATTATTTCCCCTCCTCTGCAGTGGCCCAAAGTTTACAAATTTGGCTGATAGTTGGGTTGAAAGCCTGGTTACTGCGCCCAATTATTCGTACTAGGCCCAAGTTTTATTCAGGGATTTACTTTATTAGGCCTGATTATTCTTTACTATGCCGAAGTATTACTCGGGCCTTTCGTTTTTTTTCTCTTTTTTTTCTTTTTCTTTTTTCTCTTCCAAAGGCCGACTTTTCGGTAAACCACAAGCCTAAAAACACAACGCTTGTTCTCTTAAACAGAACAGAAAATATTTCCCTCCCCCACACACATTCATATCATAGCTCTGGCGGCCATAATATTTTATTTCCTTATTTATTTATTTATTTGTAATACTAACCCTTTCTTTTGTAAGTACTTACCTTTTCTTTGTTTGTAAATACTTACCTTTTTTAAATAGTCATATTATAATTAGGATTTCTTTCCTATTGTTAACTTAAATTTGTACGTCTATTTAAATACCTTAATATTAAAGAGAAACATACATATCAGAAGATTCTCACGTACTTTATCATTGTTTGGCAAGCTTTCGAAATCGTAACACTGATACTGACACCTCCGCAAGAATTCCAACCTTGAATTGTTAAGCCATTGAAACTTTACACCTCCACCTCCAAGCCATGAAGTTCCCTGTGGTTTTGATATATGAAGATTACCAAAACTACGAATGCTACTATATGGATTATTCAAGTGACATGGAGAGAGTGAAGGACGTCAAGTTCAAGATTGAAAAAGATTCTGGCATTGCTTTTGACCAACTGAAGTTGTTTCTGGTAGTTGGAGAAGATGAGCATATAAGTCTTGAAACTTTGGAGAAAGGAGTTTTTGTAGTTTTACCTTATCCGGAGATAGCCACGGTGCCAGATGAAGAGATTGGTTGTCATCTTGGTTCCAGGTAACTAATTCTTTTATATTTTATTAATTAATTATTTAATCGTCGTCTCTATGTCCGTTCTTGATTTCCGAATGACATTAACAAGTTCTTTTTCTTCAATAGCGGTGGTCTTGACAATACAGTGGTGGCTGCGGTATCAAAAGAGGAGATTGATAATCATCCTGATTCCAAGTAATGAATCCTCAAATGTTATTCAATCGTTTCCTCTTTTAATATATATTTGCTTTCTTGATTATTCCCGATGACATTGACCATTCAATTTTCTTTAGTGGTGGTGGTGGTGGTCTTGACAATTCAGAGGCAGTTGAAGTCACAGACGAGCAAATTGCATATATTCTTAATTCTGGGTAATTAATTCTTGAATTTATATTCTTTTTTAATATCTATGTGCTTTATTGATCATTGACATGAAATTGACTACTGCTCTTGATAATTGCTTTCTTGATTAGTGATGGTTCTCAAACTCAAACTGTTGAAGTGAAAGTTATGGCTTGTTCGTTAATGGATCGTCAGTCTACTCATTTTACTGAAGTAGTTGTTGTTTTGGACAACGTGTTCACACTTACACAACAGTTGAGAAAAGTGTTGCAATTACAAAATTCACACCATATAACAGTACTTTTCAACGGAAGGGAATTGGAGCAGAACTGTTGCCCATTCCTGGATTTTCGCACAAACTTGAGCGAAAATTGGGTGGATATTATTATCCAGCAAGGAACCATTGTCGGCGCAGAGGACATCAATCAAAAGGTCATAGTCGGCGAGTGCTCAACGGCAAATCAAATGGTTCCAGCCTGGGATCCCACCTCAGTATATCTAACCCAAGAAGCAAATGTTGCATCATCATCAGCAGCAGTCAATCAGACGAATGCATCAGCATTAGCAGCCAACCATACAGATGATGCATCAGAAAAAGTAGTCGGCAATGTGAAGGAAGAACATAAGATAGCGGTGAAGGTCGCAATAGGAAGGAGAAATCAATACATCATTAATGTTTATCCTAGCGACAAGGTCTCCATTTTGAGACAACGGTTGGCTCAACGATTAGCTGAATTGAACATCCCTATGCCAGAAAGATATCACTTCGTCATTGGCGCGAATGAAGTCGATAATGAAGAGTTGTCGATCGATGAAGTCGGCCTAAAGAACAACAGGGTAATAAACCTCATCAGCAAGGACGAGTAATTTCAAAGATGACAAGAATAATGAAAAAGACCGAAATGCTATATATAACCCAGGTTATTATTATTATTATTTGTTTTAGTTTTTTGCTGGAGAATTATGTACCAGTTGTTTGCAACCATGTTTTGGATCATTAAACTAAACACTTATTTTCTTTTTGTTAATTATATTGTAGATAATTTGGCTGTTACGTAATGGGAAATAACCCACTTTCGTTCCGAATGAAATTCTCTGAGTTGCTTGGCAAGACACTACATAAACGAACGAAAGGAGAAAGCACATGCTGAACACATGAAAATTAACTAAAGAGTCACAATAGTTAAATTAATTTCTGAGATAAAATAAAACAGTCTAGAAACGAAACCAACCAAAGCAACTAAAATCTACATTGTCTGATCTCAATCTTTTGGCCGGTGGTGCTGCTTGCGTTGCCTTCAAAACTTACACTATAGTTCCATCACTTCTCCAATTATCCTAAATGAGGGGAAATTGCCTCACCAGGTTAATTATTCAAGTATCCTAAAACTATAAATACCTAAATCTGCAGCTTCGACCAGGAACACTCGTTGGGAGCCGTGTACATGGAATGGAATTGATCTGAACCGGCTGCTCCAGAAGTGGTGCTCGGCCCAGCACCATTCTCAATCGGAGGGGAAGTGCCCCATCTTCCTTTACTGGAATACATATAGCATGTGTGATTGGACGACCACTACATGAGAAACATAGTTCCGCAGATGTAAGTAGCACTAAGTCAATCCCAAAAGAAAAAGTAATAAAAGCAAACAATAAAACACACTAGAATATCACAATTGTTGAGATTAATTTTGAAAAGTTCATTACTAGTTTGGGCCTACGGGAGATATTTTCTATTATTTGTCAATGATTATACTTGAATGATGTGGCTATATTTCCTTGATCACAAATCATAAGCTTTTTTTGTTTTTGTTTTCTTAAGATTCTTATCACATGTTGAAAGAGAAAGTGGCAGGAAATTGAAGACTTTAAGAACGGATCGTGGAGCAATTTATTAGCAATCACTACATGAATTACTGCAGCAAAGAAAGATAGCTTACGGTTAGGAATTTTCCACATCAAAAGGGAGTCGCAGAGCGGAAAAACCGCACAAGTTTGACATAACTTTGAAAAATTAAATGATGGCACTTTCATTACTAATTAACTAATCAAAACAGAAAACCATAATCAATAATTAATCAAAAGGAAAGAACATAAAATATGCGTACTCAATTTGAGCTTGTTTGCACAAGTCATCGAGTAAACATAGGTAAATCAAAGTGTAATTGTTGATACTAATAAAAACCCTAGATATATTATTAAGCACTTGCACTTGCGCTTAATACTAGAGGCATACATATTCTATGGTAGAAGGCATTTTTTGTTTAAGGTATTGAATAGCATGATCTCTCGCATTCTCTTCCTCATTGACTCGTAGGAAATTCAACTCGGTTCCAGAAGGTGCACACCAAAACCGGACAGGATTTATAACAATCTTCTCCAATGCAACAACATTCTTTTTCAAGTACATGACATGTTTAACACAACATTTGTGACCACGATACCCTGATATTTCTACTTCCTTGAGGTAGTAATGGGGGCATTCGGCAGCTTTCTCTATTTTTGCCGTCTTCGTATTGGATCTTTTCAAACCCAACTGCAAAGAAACAACACTTTAGTTTACTTCATAAGAACTAGAAGCAAAACCCTCCTTTCTTGTTCTCCGTTTTATGCTTTTCTTTCTTCAGAAATATTGGCAATTGGTAATAAAATGAAGATAAATAATGAACGAAACCACTCAAGATATGAATGCATGCACAATATACAATTGTCAATCAAGTTGTACTTGTAATCAATATCAATCTATCAATCTATGAATAATTATGTATGCATACCCCCAAAACAAGTCTCTGCATGTAAGGAGCTGCCTTCATGAAAGAAGCTAAGCGACCAAGGGACAAATGGTAGTCTGCATCAACTAATAATTGCAAATGCCTTAGATTTGCTAGTGTGGGAAGTACATGATTTTGATTGTAGACCTGAAATCCACCAAACCAAATCACAAGTAAGGAACATAATAAATTACAAAAAGGAAGAAAACAAAACTAACTCATCACATACAATAATACTACATACTAACCGCTTCTCTGATATCTAGCTTCAGAATCTCTATATGAGAAAGACAAGGCGAAAATTGGCCGAGCACAATCCTTGTGAATTCAGCATAAGCGTACCACTTGTAATAGGTTACATCAACAAGCAGCGGTACATTCTTGAGATGCAAAGATATCAACCCTCCACAATAAATAAATGAAACAATGTTTGCGTCACAAATCTCAATGTTTTTGAGTCGTTGACAATTTTTTATCTCCAAATATTTCAATGCTATCAAGGGACCGACAACTCTTAAATTAACTAAATTTTTTGCAACATCTAGAGACAATCGCTCAAGAAGTGGACAGTTGGACAAGAAGAACTCAACAACTTCCCCGGTCACACCAACATGTCGAAAATGAATAACTTTGAGGGACTTGAAACCAATATTGTTGTAATATCCACCAGAACCTAGACTTGGAATGCCATTGGAAGCAAATTCTTCCTTTTCCATACCCAACAGTTTATAGGGAAATGTATAGTCATCGTCGTGCCAACCCCCCCCAGTTGTCAATAAGTCCAACTCAAGTGTTTGAACTCTCTTTTCCATTGCAAATTGAACCCATTTATCAATGGAACTTGTAAAGACGTTATCTAGAAAAAAGATAACCCTGAATCGTTCAATGTTTTGGCCGCTATACTGCTCCAGCACGTGATTCACCCAATTGACGTATTTATGGCCTTCTTCTTCGTCTCGTTTATCATAGTCAAGTTCACAGAAGTATTTTAAGGTCTCAGGGTCTTCAAAATTAACAGTCTCTAAATTGAGAGTCGTAGTAGATGACCAGACATACCGCCATCTCCTAGAAAGGATACTTGTAGCTACTGCTTCCTTTAGCGGCAAGAGTGACACTATGCTAACAATAACCTCATATGGCAACTCACTGATTCGGTCCTCCACCACCTTGTGCTCATCATCCTTGATTATTTTCCTTCTCTTTCCCGACTCATCTAACTTGTACTCATCATCCTTATAATTATGGAGATATCATAAAATTTAAAAAAATTTAAATAAATAAATAAAGTAACGCACTAGTGGTGTTGTTGCTATGGGTCTATTTGATTTCATCATTCAATCAAATGATTTAAATTATATTTTTTTTTCAAAAATCAAATAATAGCGACCGATAACAACATTAGGAAAACGCCCCCAAAAAAATATGCAAAATTTTAAACAGGTTATATACCTGGAAAACAAAAAAAAAAGTTTAAAAGGGTGCAATTTTGATGCATGCTAGTGTTAGTGTAGAAAATAGTTTGTAGTGTTTACCTTGAGTTGGACAGATTGAGAGGAGGTGCTCATTCTTTTTTCCACTAAAACTGGGAGTTTGAGACGATTCACAGCAGTGCTTGGCTTGAAGAGTTAGTTTTAGGGATTTTGTCAAATGAAAGAGGGAGACAGAGAAGCGTAATTGCAGATATGCCGTGCTGCAAATTTAATTTATAATTACATTGTGCGTTTTGGAGAGAGAGAGAGAGAGAGCGTAGTTTTAATTTTTAAACCATACAAAACTTTATTTAGGGTTTAGGGTTTACGGAACCCTAACCTTCCCACACACGTGATTGGATAATAAGAACGAGAAAATGGGTGTAGTTTTTTTTTTTCACCATCTAATTAAAAAAAAAAAAAAAAGGACAAAAAACTAACATCTCATATTTTTTAAATAATAAAAAATCACCTTAAAGATAGGAGTTGAATACGCTCTCTCCGCTAAAAAATCACCCTAAACCCTAAAGATAGGAGTTGAATACGCTGTCTAGTCTCTTCCCCCCCTCCTCTCCTCTCTCTTAAGATTTTGAAAACCTGTAATTCTTTTAAGTTTTCAAATCAACTTGTTCATCTTCTAATTTGTTGTCAATCCACTCGGTCAAGAATCTATACATATCTACTGAAGCTAATCAACAAGGAACAACAACACTAGGTTTTCAAAATTAGGTACTAAGGATTCAAATTCTTTCCACTGTGTCAAATATCTATATGATGCACCAATAACGATCAACCCAGTTTTTCTTTTCTTTTTCCGCTTTAGAATTATCTACCAGTTGTTATGCCCATGTTTTGGGTCATTTAAACTTGCACTTGTTTTCTTTTTTCTTTACTTTTAGTTCATTAGATTGAAGATACTCTGAATTGCATGGAGTCAAAATTGACTGGTACGTAATGGAAAATATCCCACTTTCGTTCCGGTTCATTATAACTCTTTGAGTTGCTTGGCAAGACGCTACATTAACGAAAGGACAAAAGCACAGAGCAAAAAGATGATTTCTTATTAACACCTGAAAATTAACTCAAGAGTAGAGAAAACAAAATGAGTAATCATGTATGATTCCCAATTAAATTAATTTCTAAGATACTTAAATAACTTTAGAAGAAAAAAGGGATAAAATAGTCTAGACATGAACCAACCAAAGCAAACTAAAATATTTTGCTAAATTCCCTCATTGTCTGATCTCGACCTTTTGCCCGGCGGTGCTGCGTTGTCTTCAAAACTTACACTATAGTTCCATCACTTCTCCAATTATCCTAAATGAGGGGAAATTGCCTCACCTTAAAATGCCACTATAACGAATTCTACTGGGTTATCGAATTCTACTGAGTATCCTAAAACTATAAATACCTAAATCTGCAACTTCCCCTCAACAAATAAATAAAATATGGTGAGACCAGGAAAAGGGATCACACAGAAGAGATACACTCAAGATCCTCATTGGGAGCCGTGCACATGGAATTGTCACCTTTGGGGTTGATCTGAACCAGCTGCTCCAGAAGTGGTGCTTGGCCCAGCACCATTCTCAATCGGAGGGGAAGTGCCCCATCTTCCTTCTGATTCTAAAGGCTCAAGCACATGCACTCCACCATCTGTAAGTCCTAATGCAAACTGATTGGGTTCGGATGGATGTGCCGCAACAACGAGAGGATGCACAAAGCTGCTAAAACGTTTATTGTTAGATATGTTATTTACAACACAGAAAGACTGCAAATATCCTAGGAAAAAAAAATTATTATCTTCACTTTGCTTACAAAAATACATACCTGGGATTTGGAGGTAAATAAGCAGTAGGTAATATTCGGCATCTCAATCTAAGTGTAGAAGCAGTGAGAACCCCCACACTTCCATCTTCAAAGCTAACATAAATTGACTGGCTATCACAGGAATACGTAGCATGTGTGATTGGACCACTAGCTTCTCGAGGAACAAACTACATGAGAAACATAGTTCCACAGATGTAAGTAGCACTAAGTAAAACCCAAACAAAGTAAAAGCAAACAATTAGACACATTAGAACATCACAATCACCGAAACATTTATCTTAATGCTTGCTTGCGCTCTTACTAGATACAAGCTTATGTAGGTGGCACTAAGTAAACCCAGTGTTGTATGCATGAAATGATCAAGGCCCATGCAATAATATCTATTTTAATGCTGGCTGTGTTAATCTGAACTAACAGGATTTTTTATTATTTAAAAAATAAAATAAAATATACTAATATTTTTATACTCAAATAAATTTAAGCAAAAAATAAACCATTGCACCTGCTTGAGGCATTCTAATTTTGGTGCTTCGTATATGGCTATCTGTGTTTCATGAACTGCCAGCAAAAGTGTCTGATCTAAGTGAAACTGAACTCGGGTATCTGCAAGAGGAGCAGCAGCTCGCCCACTTGGAATCTGAAGAAATTTACTGGCCTGCTTCTCCCATCCATCTGTGTTCCAAACACACAACTGCAGCGAAGAAAAATAAAAGCATTGATGACTTAACAACTCCAGTACCAACACCTAGTCAAACTATTGAAGCGTCTCTTGCATGAAGTTCAAGGACAGAAACAGAAAGACTATATTGGTTAAAAGCAAGAGAGTCTAAAACCAACAGCTTTTTGTAAAGGCCTGAGGCAATCAACACCTAAGTGACTAAGTAAACCACAATTCTAGAGAAATGCATTTCAGAAAAGCATTCTCCACTTACGGTTAAATGAAATGATTTCAATGTGAATCGTCAAATGCAACCAGGCAATCAGTTTGCTATGAAGTTGAACTATAAACTATCTGGATACTACATTGATCCGTTTTGGCTTGGCCACTTGTGATAAGTTACTTCTGTTAGTCACTAGTTCATTGCTTAAAGCCTTAAAGGCACTGTGACATGCACAGATATAGACTCGCACATTCATACCTGGGAATCAGCGCCTGATGATACAAGCACATTAAGAACATGAGAAAAGGCAAGGCCTGTTATTCTTTTTTGATGTCCCTTCAGCTTGGTTTTAACCTGTGAGAGGAGCATCCAGATTGTAAGCAATCAATATTCCAGATATCATCACAAACTGACAAATTTAAGTTCAGTGAACAGAGACCTCATCAACCCGAACATTGTAAATTTGGATGGAAGAATCTTCCATTCCTATGGCAATGATATTATTGTCTTGAGGATGAAACGCCAGATATGTTGCAGCTGGTGGCGGGGGCATGAATGTTGTCATTGTCTGCAATTCAAAAGGCATAACAATATCACAACAATATAAAACGATGAGTGTTGTTATTGTCTTTTCTTTTCTTTTCTTCCTTTCATTGTCTACAATAAAGGAAGCATAAGAATGATAATTTATAACATCGTAGAAGTAACTTCAATTTTCATGCCACCCAAAGAAAGTTAGCTACATCCGATTGAAAGCAAATAGAACACTGACAGTTTCACCATGAGTGCTTCTATTACCAAACCAAAATATGCTCATCCCAACCCCTTTTTTAAAAATATTGTCAATTACCATTTATCCTTCTGTATAATTACCTTCCCTAGATTTACCTAAAATGACATAGTTTAAACAAATCACACAAAACAGAAACAAACTGAGCAAAAATGAATATAATTAGGTTTTAAGGGTATTTTAGAAATATTGGTGGGTAGATTGAAAAATATGATTCTTTTTTTTTTTTTCCTGATTTTCAATAGGTGTATGCAAAGTAGATGGTGGAGTAAGCATTTTGAAGGACAGTACAGAAGCAACACTGTCTTTTTAGATTGTCTTACGCATGGCACTTCAAAAGTTTCATAGACGATGCATATTCAGTATCTTATCTTAAATTAATCAACCAGTACACTAGATGTATCGAATGAGAGAAATGTTCAGAGGGAACAACCTACCTTAAATGTCATCATATTGAAAAGGGATATTTTCCCCCCTGAAGCTGACATAACATATGAGTCATTCTTTGAAAGTGCAAAGCATGGAACAGCATCTTCAGGGTTTGTATCGCTTATATCATTGGTCATCAATATTCCACTTGCAGGTTGCCACAAGTGGGGTACAGTACTAGCTGTGGCCTACAAGAAATAAACATTTTAGTAAATGGCAAGCTTAAGGATACATAAAAAGTTACAAAAATGCAACCATCTCTGTTAGGAATTCTAATACCTTGGTCGTGTTTCGTTCGTTTCTTTGCCATTTCCAGAGCTTGTGTACAGCATTAGATGATAATGCCAATACGGCTAGTCCTGAATTTGTATAAATTAATCTAGAAACCTGAAATAATTATCAATACTCAGAGCTTGACATTAAAACATACATAGTTCTCATGAAAATGTTTTAAAAGGAACAAACATCAAATGCATATAGTACAGAGATTCACCATGTAGTGTTTGTACTGATATGTTTTAAAAGGAAATCACAAATCTTTCCGCAAGATTAATTTTGGTTTGAGTACAAGTCATATGCTTAAAAAAGTAACTCACTGAAAATTACAGCACAACATAATCAATGTACTCTAAATAAAAAGGATGAGGTTTTTCCACAACATTGCTCTTTATCTACAAGGTGTAGCATGCATGATGCACAAAGAAAAGAAAACAGAACAAAGCATAAAATATAAACCTAAAAATTTACAGATAAATAATCCTGACTCCTGTATCTCAATTTAACACTGGCACGAGTGGGTCAAACATCCATTTCCACAAGCAGAAAAAAAGTTCTACAGGATGTCTCACAGTGTTAGAATGCTCAAGCACGTTATATAAGTATGCATATAAAGTATAAGACCATATAAGGTTTGAATGGCCCATCTTTTGAAAAAGTATTTATTTTCTTTGCAAGGTCAAACTAAGTTGTAAAAACTATGCTAACAAACAGGTTTATCTCAGATGAACAATCACTGGCTAATGATGCAACAAGAATAGAGATAAGAATGTGCTTCAAGAAAGTAAAATAAGGGGTAATTAAACACATGTGAAATATTGCAGGAAACAAAGATGGAATGCACAGTTCATAAAGAGCCAAGGCATGGGAAATATTTGAATGACTACAAAAGATAATGCAATAAAAATTATAAGTTTTGACAATTTAGGACAAAAGAGAATCAATACCCTCGTTGCTGTTAAACTATCAGGGAGCCTCAGTGACCGGCATTGTGATGGTTCATTGATTTCAGTCAGTTTCCAGATCCTGGATTTTTCTCCCGACTCATCGGCAATT